TGGGGCAGGGGTCTCACCTGCAGCTCATAGGTGCGGCTGGCCCGGTCCTGCTTGATCTTCATGAGCATGTTCTCCTTGAGCTCATCCAGCAGGGAGTAGAGAGTCTGGAACTCGCCCTCCAGGTCCTCCTGCACCTTGATGGAGTTGGCCTGGCCGAGGTAGACGAGGGCAGTCGTGAGGGCGCGACTGGGGCACCGCTGGCGGGGAACTCCACCCCCAAGGGAAATCAACCTGTGGGGTCAGGGCCGAGGTTGCCCTCATGCCGGCACTGCAGTGGAGTGCAGAGCAAGGCAGGGGGCCGGACTGGCAGAGGAGGGGGTAGTCACAGTGCTGGGGGTGGGCAGCACCGTCCCGCAAGGGGAGGCAACGGGGGCTTCTGTGCCAGTGCCGTGGGGCAAGTAGAGCCATCAGGCCCATGCCCCAGGCCAGGGCCAGGGGACGCCAGGGCAGCAGGGCCGCGCTACCTCCACGTTCTGCAGCATCTGCTTGAGGGCATAGATGAAGTTTTGGATCTCCTCGTTCTTCACGGCCAGCGTGGTGATGATCTTCCTCAGCGCCTCCTGCCCCAAGCACCCATGCCGTCAGTGCCTGCCCAGCCCTGCCAGGCCCAGCCCAACCCTGAGACCTCCACAGGCCGCCTCAAATGCCAGGCACCTATGTGCTCCTTCAGTGCCTCTGTCCAGCCCCCCACCCCGGCCTGTCCCAGTTTCCTAGGGAAGCCAAGGCATGGAGTGGCAAAGGGATTCACCAAGGTCACAAAGCGAGTTGGTGCAGGAGCCCCGACTCCTTGCCCTCCCTCCTTAGGCCTTAAGATGCCCCATGTCACTCCCTCTTCCCTGCTCCCTATGCTGCTCCTTCTCTCTGCTCTGAGCCCCATGCCCATGTCGTGGGCCCGGCCTTGCTGGGCGGGAAGAGGGTGACAAGGGCCCGTGAGCCAGTGCTGCCAGCCCCCGAGGTGGAAGCTGCTGCATAAATACCAAGCCTCAGTGTTGTCCTGTAGCCTGGCAAACGCGTCCGTCTCCCCAGGTCACAGGCAGGGGAGCTAACGGGCACCAGGCACTGGCTGACACTCAGGCCTATCGCCACCTTTAGTCCCGGAGACCCAGGAGGTGTTCTCACCCTGCGCTGGCCCTGTGGGGCAGATCCGGATCAGTCTCTTTCCTCCCCCTCCGCCTCGGTTTCCCCATTTTGCCAGCCGTGTCCAGCTAGCCTCTCTGTCCCCGGCACACCCGACCCCGAGCTGCCAGCCCCACCAATCCCACCAGTCTCCTCCTTCCCCTCTCCCAAGTAACTTACCTCAGGCTGCTCACACTACTCCTAGCAAGCAGGAAGTATCTGCATGTGCCATTATGGCACTGGGTGGAATGGGGCTACTTTAAGATAAAGGTATGGCATTCAGAAAAACTTAAAAAAAATACAATTATGT